CTGTCTATGGATTTTCTACTGGTTCAATTATCTGTCAATTTTCATACTACCTTGTGATTATTTAAGATATCTAATCTGACTGCATCATCCACCCTAATCAGAATTTTAGTAACTCCCTCTGGAGCACAGGGTTAAGTCTGAACCCTCTAGTCTGTTATATAAGTCACCCCATGCCCCAACTCCTACCTCTGGAGTTTTACATGAGGGTACAGACCCCTTCCTCCCATGTTCTAGTTATAAAAACCTTCTGGCAGTTGTCTGAACAGGCTGGGCACATTAATTCCATGTCTCCCTGCTTTTGTTCATATGCTTCCTATGCCTCATTTTCTTACCTCATTTACTGGGCAAGCATCTACTCATTTGTAAAGATTACTCAAACATTACTATCTCTAGCCTTTCTTCCTTCCCCATCCCAACTAAAGAGAAACAAATCATTCTTTCCTCCTATGTGTCCACTCCCTCATACTTTTATCCTAGCATTATTATTTTATAATACTCATCTATACAATTCTCTTTCCCACCATAATATGAGTACCTTAAGGGCAGAACTATATCTTGTTAAGTACCCAGTGTAACCTTCATAAGCAGTAACCATCAAATTATATGAGCAATCATTTGATTTATAAAAAGATGCAACAAACTTTAAAATGATAAAAATGTCATTTTCACAATATCAAAAAGTGAGTATATTTAAGCATACTCAGCTTGTAACAGAACAAATGGGTGAGTGGAATAACTCATGGTACATCACATTTAATGAACTGGTAGCAGAGAAAGTTGGTTGAAGGAAGGCAGAGGAACTTTGTTTTTTAAGAATTAGAACCGAGGAGCTCCATAATCATCTGGCATTCGCTCAATGTTGTACCTGATAGCACAAAAAAATTAACATTGGTAAAAAAAAGGTGGGTCCCAAAGCCACCCAAAAACCCATCCTTTACTAATTGCAACATTCTCACCCCAACTGTGAATCCTTTTTTGATTGGCAACACTTTACAGGGATATTATGATGACTGACTTAGAGCAAAATGCTAACTTTAATATCTTTATTCTTTGAAATCAGAAAGGTAACAAGAGGGGGTGCCAGGCACTGAGTGCAGGTAAGCCTATCTCAGCCACCCATCTTCTTTCCACGATTATTGTGTTCTCTGCAGACTGAAAAGCTGGATGTAACAGTCAGCACTGACATGAGAACATCCAAGAAAGATAAAGAGCAGCTTTGGATTTTTATAAGCACGTAGTTGCCTGGATGAGTGTTAATCACATGCAACAAGGTTTTCAAAAAAAAGTTATTTCTGGTCAAAAAGATTAACCTGATTTAAATTAGTGCTTTGAATTTAAAGCACATCTATTTCTTATATAATTGTAACAATATGAATGTCTGCTTCATTCCTAAATCCTAGCTTTATCTTTTGCCTTTGTTTTTGTTACTTTGTATCATTTCTTCAAATCTGACTATGTAAACATTTGATACAACAATTTTTGTCAAATCTTCTATAACCTAACTTCATTTTTAATTGTTATCAATTATATACAGTTGGCCCTTGAACAATGTGGGGAAAGGGGATCTAACCTCCCCACATAGTCAAAAATTTGCATGTAACTTTGAACTCCCCAAAAACACAACTAATAGCCTATTGCTGAGTACTAGAAGCCTTACCAATAACATAAACAGTTGATTAACACATATTTTATATATGTATTATATACTGTATTCTTACAATAAATAGGCTAGAGAAAAGAAAATGTTTTCAAATTGTTGCAAACCTCCAAAAAAAAAAACCTTCCAGTATATTTATTTGAAAAAAATTGGCGTATGTGTTGACCCATGCAGTTCAAACCCACACATTGTTCAAAGGTCAACTGTACTTATGATTATTCCCCAAGAGAAAGTTCTCACCTATGGTTAGATATGTACATGATGGGAACTCCAGGGATCTTCCGGATTCTTCGCTTAAGGTCTCGGTCAACCGTGGCCACAATGTAACACTTGTGCTGTTAAGAGACATTAATTGAGCATTCACATAGAGCTCACTGAGTCTATTTAGTGATACTGGATAATGGGACAACCACTGGCTAGTGTGAAGAATTATTAATTTTCACAGTAAATAACAAAGGAAGGGCTGTAACAATTTGTTCAGTAGCTACTGTGATCTAGGAGCTAATATTTATAAAATATATAACAAACTACCTGGCCTGAATGAAGCTTGAAGAATCTTGAGAGGGAGAAGAGAGAAAAACTAAAAGCTGCAAATTGTTTTTCTGTCTCCTAAGTGGAAAGGACTTTCACATTTGAGGCAGACAATTCCTTGGTTCTGGGAAAACACCCTGAGGTACTCTGAACTGCCTTAGTTTGGAGGATACCGCTTTTGCTTTTCCTGGGGTCTCAGAGATTGGGCCTACTCTGAGGCCTCCTACTGATGAAGATATGCTACCTCCTGCCACAAACCCAGTAAAGATTTCCAGGACAGGTTGAGCCTAGCAGCTCTGAAAGCAGTAACATTTGGCTACCAGTTGGAAACCTTTTGTGCCATACTTTACTTCCATCATACCAAATCTCCTTTTGAGTTTTAGAGAATTGCAGCCTGGTGTCAGCTGTCCTGCAGGACACTAAGGAAAATGCCAGCCCCACCAAAGCAATGGAGTGCCTGAAGGATAGCAGTGTGGTCACCAGAAGATGAGTATCCTTGGTAAAGAGGCTCTTGTCAGAGCAATCAGTAGCAGAAGTTCGTGTGGTGCTTGATAAGGAAGCCAGAAAGGAAGAATCAAAAACCTACTTATTGCAGGATACCTGTGAGACAGCCCCCTGAAAGACTTGACTGTAACTGAGAAATACTTCTGGGCTACAGGTAGGCATGGTGAAGAGGAACCAAATTCCTGCATGGAGAGTAAATGCAAATGGAACCATATTTAGGTTCACAGGAAAGGTGGAATCTGATCTATTATTACATTTATATTCACTCACTTTTAACCATTTTATAGAGAAGATCTGTGGAATAAAATATCAGTAAGTGTGCCAAGCACATCTCCAATAAAGGCAGGTGCTGAGACTTTTAAACCCATGTCTCCTTCTCCTTCCCATGCCTGTTATCTTTCCATTGTTAGAGTATACATTTCAAATCCACATGCTCAAGTAAATGATGATACCTATGCTTCCTATGAAAAATTTCCATACAAAAATATTACATGTATTTCCATACAAAAATATATAAATTTTTTACCATTTATATTCAGACACTTTACTGACCATGAACATTCAGATGATAAATAGTTCACCTCCTTTTTTAAAGCATAAAGTAAATATTCAGAAACTGATGATACCTGAGTCACTCTCTGTACTAAGCAGTCATCTGCATAGGTTCCTTTGTGTGTGCAAGGTAAACGTTCAAATCTTGGGTCTTTGGCGATCCTGCAGGGTTGCAAAAGTGTATTAATGAAAACATTTAGGCAACTGGATAATTTTTTGAGCCTCAATCAGTAAAGTAAGAGTAACATGATCTATGTGGAGATTTTAAGGCACTCTCCTCCTCCTGAAGGTTATCTTCTAATCAGAAAGACAACGGATAGAGAAGGGACAAATTATTTCTAAATGATTGATGAAATAAAATGGAAATAAAAATGCTCCAAGCAAAGTGAAGGCAGGCACATCCCAAACAGGGTTCTCTACATGTTCAGGCTCTCTAAATTCTGTAAAATTTTGTGGTACTCAGGGAAGAGTGTTTGTGCAGAGAACAGAGAAACAGGGCTAGAAAGGATGGTGGAATAGGACTTGGAAGTCTCCAATGTCAGGCTGTGAAGTTTGGGCTCTGTGACACAGGTGATAGGGAGCCATTTAAGATTGCTCAGTGACAGAGCGACATGAGTAAAGTTTTATTGTTTTAGAAAGAGAGCAGACCGTGGTGAGGAGGATACACCAGAAGCAGATGGACTGGTTGCTGAGAAGCTAGGTAGGTACCAGTCTAGGCCTGAGCTCTTTTGGTTATCCCTTTCACTTCTGACATCATCAATCTCCTCTTTCCTACTGGCTCTTTCCTAGAAATATACCAACATGTTATAGGATCTTCCCCACCTTAAAAAAAAATTCCTTCTTTTTACTTATACTTCCTCCTTCAGTTATCATCCCATTTCTCTGCTTCTCTTCACAGCTAAACCTGGTGCTTCCACTTGGTGCCTCTATTTTCTTCCCTTCTGTTCTTTATTTTTATTATTATTTTTAAACAATTGCCTCTTCCCCCCCTTTTTATTTGAAGTATTTTAAGTATGCAAAAAAGTAAAAGGAATGATGAATACTTTGTACCTCCCATCTAGTTAAAGAGATGACACATTATAAATAAAAATGAAGCTCCCCTTCAGTCCATTTTACCTCCCTCAAAGTAACTATTTTTCTAAATTTGGTATTTGTCAGTCCTGTACACATTTTCAGTACATATGTAAAATTACATATTACCTGTAAACAATGCAGTATTAATTTGCATGCCATTAAACTTTAGATAAATATGCTCTTGTTTTTTGTTTCACACTGTTTTTGAGATTTATCAATATTGAAACATAACTCTACTTCACTCATTTTTCATGCCCATACAGTATTTCATTCATGAATACCCCACAGTTTATTCATTATCTTCTTAGTGGATCTTTTGGCTGTCTGCAATTTTTGCTACTATATACATAAGAAAATTCCAATACTTGTCTCCAGTACATGTATGTGAGCCTCTCTATGCCAAGTCCTTTCTTTTTTAGTAGAACCCACAGTATGAAACATACATTTTACCTAGCACATAGTAAGCACATAAAAACACACACACACACACACACACATTATTACAAGTGAAAAAAGTTCCTTTGACACAATACTCAAACTTTGCTACATGCAATCATGTAATGTAGTTAATCCCTTCTTCCCATCCTCAGCTCCAGGAAATCATTGATATGTATTCTATGTAACACTTGTGCTGTTAAGAGACATTAATTGAGCATTCACATAGAGCTCACTGAGTCTATTTAGTGATACTGGATAATGGGACAACCACTGGCTAGTGTGAAGAATTATTAATTTTCACAGTAAATAACAAAGGAAGGGCTGTAACAATTTGTTCAGTAGCTACTGTGATCTAGGAGCTAATATTTATAAAATATATAACAAACTACCTGGCCTGAATGAAGCTTGAAGAATCTTGAGAGGGAGAAGAGAGAAAAACTAAAAGCTGCAAATTGTTTTTCTGTCTCCTAAGTGGAAAGGACTTTCACATTTGAGGCAGACAATTCCTTGGTTCTGGGAAAACACCCTGAGGTACTCTGAACTGCCTTAGTTTGGAGGATACCGCTTTTGCTTTTCCTGGGGTCTCAGAGATTGGGCCTACTCTGAGGCCTCCTACTGATGAAGATATGCTACCTCCTGCCACAAACCCAGTAAAGATTTCCAGGACAGGTTGAGCCTAGCAGCTCTGAAAGCAGTAACATTTGGCTACCAGTTGGAAACCTTTTGTGCCATACTTTACTTCCATCATACCAAATCTCCTTTTGAGTTTTAGAGAATTGCAGCCTGGTGTCAGCTGTCCTGCAGGACACTAAGGAAAATGCCAGCCCCACCAAAGCAATGGAGTGCCTGAAGGATAGCAGTGTGGTCACCAGAAGATGAGTATCCTTGGTAAAGAGGCTCTTGTCAGAGCAATCAGTAGCAGAAGTTCGTGTGGTGCTTGATAAGGAAGCCAGAAAGGAAGAATCAAAAACCTACTTATTGCAGGATACCTGTGAGACAGCCCCCTGAAAGACTTGACTGTAACTGAGAAATACTTCTGGGCTACAGGTAGGCATGGTGAAGAGGAACCAAATTCCTGCATGGAGAGTAAATGCAAATGGAACCATATTTAGGTTCACAGGAAAGGTGGAATCTGATCTATTATTACATTTATATTCACTCACTTTTAACCATTTTATAGAGAAGATCTGTGGAATAAAATATCAGTAAGTGTGACAAGCACATCTCCAATAAAGGCAGGTGCTGAGACTTTTAAACCCATGTCTCCTTCTCCTTCCCATGCCTGTTATCTTTCCATTGTTAGAGTATACATTTCAAATCCACATGCTCAAGTAAATGATGATACCTATGCTTCCTATGAAAAATTTCCATACAAAAATATTACATGTATTTCCATACAAAAATATATAAATTTTTTACCATTTATATTCAGACACTTTACTGACCATGAACATTCAGATGATAAATAGTTCACCTCCTTTTTTAAAGCATAAAGTAAATATTCAGAAACTGATGATACCTGAGTCACTCTCTGTACTAAGCAGTCATCTGCATAGGTTCCTTTGTGTGTGCAAGGTAAACGTTCAAATCTTGGGTCTTTGGCGATCCTGCAGGGTTGCAAAAGTGTATTAATGAAAATATTTAGGCAACTGGATAATTTTTTGAGCCTCAATCAGTAAAGTAAGAGTAACATGATCTATGTGGAGATTTTAAGGCACTCTCCTCCTCCTGAAGGTTATCTTCTAATCAGAAAGACAACGGATAGAGAAGGGACAAATTATTTCTAAATGATTGATGAAATAAAATGGAAATAAAAATGCTCCAAGCAAAGTGAAGGCAGGCACATCCCAAACAGGGTTCTCTACATGTTCACGCTCTCTAAATTCTGTAAAATTTTGTGGTACTCAGGGAAGAGTGTTTGTGCAGAGAACAGAGAAACAGGGCTAGAAAGGATGGTGGAATAGGACTTGGAAGTCTCCAATGTCAGGCTGTGAAGTTTGGGCTCTGTGACACAGGTGATAGGGAGCCATTTAAGATTGCTCAGTGACAGAGCGACATGAGTAAAGTTTTATTGTTTTAGAAAGAGAGCAGACCGTGGTGAGGAGGATACACCAGAAGCAGATGGACTGGTTGCTGAGAAGCTAGGTAGGTACCAGTCTAGGCCTGCGCTCTTTTGGTTATCCCTTTCACTTCTGACATCATCAATCTCCTCTTTCCTACTGGCTCTTTCCTAGAAATATACCAACATGTTATAGGATCTTCCCCACCTTAAAAAAAAATTCCTTCTTTTTACTTATACTTCCTCCTTCAGTTATCATCCCATTTCTCTGCTTCTCTTCACAGCTAAACCTGGTGCTTCCACTTGGTGCCTCTATTTTCTTCCCTTCTGTTCTTTATTTTTATTATTATTTTTAAACAATTGCCTCTTCCCCCCCTTTTTATTTGAAGTATTTTAAGTATGCAAAAAAGTAAAAGGAATGATGAATACTTTGTACCTCCCATCTAGTTAAAGAGATGACACATTATAAATAAAAATGAAGCTCCCCTTCAGTCCATTTTACCTCCCTCAAAGTAACTATTTTTCTAAATTTGGTATTTGTCAGTCCTGTACACATTTTCAGTACATATGTAAAATTACATATTACCTGTAAACAATGCAGTATTAATTTGCATGCCATTAAACTTTAGATAAATATGCTCTTGTTTTTTGTTTCACACTGTTTTTGAGATTTATCAATATTGAAACATAACTCTACTTCACTCATTTTTCATGCCCATACAGTATTTCATTCATGAATACCCCACAGTTTATTCATTATCTTCTTAGTGGATCTTTTGGCTGTCTGCAATTTTTGCTACTATATACATAAGAAAATTCCAATACTTGTCTCCAGTACATGTATGTGAGCCTCTCTATGCCAAGTCCTTTCTTTTTTAGTAGAACCCACAGTATGAAACATACATTTTACCTAGCACATAGTAAGCACATATATACACACACACACACACACACACATTATTACAAGTGAAAAAAGTTCCTTTGACACAATACTCAAACTTTGCTACATGCAATCATGTAATGTAGTTAATCCCTTCTTCCCATCCTCAGCTCCAGGAAATCATTGATATGTATTCTATTACTATAGTTTGCCTTTTCTAGATATTCATATAAATGGAATCACATTTCTGGAGTAATGAAAATGTCTTATTTCATTCCATAACTGTGGACCTTTGCCAAACCCATCAAATTATACAATTAAACTTGGTGAGTTTTATAGGATATAAATTATACCTCTGTAAAAGTCTCTTTATCACACACACACACACAGGTATATCTTGCACTCTGAATGGGCCTTTTTCCCCATGCATAATTTTGCAGTATCATGCATTGATCATTTGGAAAATGCTGATTCACTGAATTACATACATCTTCCAAATATTGACACATTTCATTATATAATATTAAAAAATACTCATTAATATCGTCACTGGTTTCTTAACAGAAAGGTCTTTAGTATTGGGAATGGGGTAAGCTCATAATTTCCTAAAACTCTTCACTTAAAAGCTCAAATTTTATCATTGGTAATTAATACAGCAAGTCATTTTCCTTGATGTGACACGTTCACTGCACTAATTATTTTTGAAAAAATACCCGCCAAATACCAAAGTCTGAAAGATCAGTGCTTGTCAGTTGTTCTTCACATAAAAATAATATTCCATGAAAAAGCAGCTGATTCAGCTCACAACTCAAACAAGCACACAAATGCTTTTGAGGTAATGTTCAATCTTTGCAATGCAGCAAAGTGCTTTATTTGTACCTCACATTTCATCACAAGGAATGCTGATGTGTATACTCCAGGGTTGAGATTTAACAAAGTTAATAAATTTTACTCTTCATCAAGGATATTCTTAAGTGACTGGCTTATTTTTTTAACTGCCACTGGGTGGCAATGAAGAAAAGAACAACTCCTAGAATTATTTGGGCACACTGCCTTGATTTGTACAAAAGTACCAGCATTTCTGCCATCGATACAAATGTCAACACAGTGACAAAAGCAATGTCTTGGTATTATTATGAAAGTAATTTTGCAAACTCCCTGCAAAAGTCTCTCAGATTCCTAGATGTCCACAGACCACAGTTGTGGGACCATATCTCTAAACTCAAGGGTACTTTTTAGAGTAAACTAGAAACTTAGAATGTGACTCTTTTAAGTATGAGATTCTGGAGGAGATATCTAGATAACAAACTAATAGAAAGACACTTTCTAATTGAAAATCTAGGGGAAGTCGAAAGGAGGCCCACAGGACTAATGATTAAGTAACTTAGTTAAAAAAGATCCAGCTTAAAAATCTCTAACCTTCAAAACTTTGCTTTCTTAATCATACAGTTAACTAGTTTTACATGATTCATTTAAGTTAATCATCCAAGAAATCTTTGGATAGCAACAGATGAAGGAAGGTCAAAAGAATCTTTAGTATACTAATCTAGAACAAACCAGCTCCTTCCTACCTTAGAGCCACTCGATACTTTTGCCCCAATTTCTCAATTTCAGCCATTACACAGTCAGTTATACAAGGGATACCTGCCAGGAGAAAAAAATACACATTAGTAACAAAATCTGTGAAGAAACTGACTTTACTCTCTCTGAATTCTATCCTGTGTAGAGTCTTTAAAAGACCCATAAGACTCTGGAATGACAGGAGAATAAGCACACTGAAATGAATAGTAAGAAGTAGAGGAAAATAAAATTCCTATTGATAAACAAACCTAGAAGGGTCCAACCCTATACCACAGATTCTGTAAAGTTATCTGTCATAAATATATCTGGGAAAAAAAATATAAGCTAGATCTCTGCCATTCCTTATATACTAAAATAAAATCTAGAGAGTGTGTTGAAAGATGGTGGCGTAAGAAGTGAGGCAGAAACCTCTTCCAAAAACCACATATAATATGAAAATACAGCAATTACAACTAATCCTAAAACAGTGACCAGAAAGAAGATTGCAATAGCTGGCCTACATCTGGGAGGAAATAAAAAAACCAGACTTCAAGGAAAAGGGTAAAGTACCAAAGCTATGATCCACTGGGAACCGAGACCTTCCCCCACCACAGCTCATCTGTGGGAGGAAGACAAACAGAGCGGAGAGGGAATAGAAGCCTGGGACAACTAAATACCCAGCCCTGGAGATCTATTCCAGGAGCACAAACCCACATTGTATGGTGCTCTGGAGATTAGAGGGATTGGAAAGCAAAGTCAGGCAGAATACTTGGAGAGTGAGATTCCAGGCACTTATGGAGAACAGGTTGCCACAACGAGGGACTCTGGGACAAAGAAAGGTGAGCACTTTGAAAGACTTCCCAACAGTGAGAGGGCTGTTAAAGGGGCAAGGATTACACAGAGGTTGCTGCTCAGAAGGGACAGGTGGACAAAATCATTCCAGCACACTCAGCCCAAGCAGGTTGGGAACTTTCAGGAGCTTCAGGCGCTCCATCCCCCTGGCTGGCAATGCAGCCCTGAGGTGCCCCACCATGATACTCAGCCTGTCACTCCTTCCTCCTGGCCCACACCTGCATGCAAACATGTTGCTCCTTCCATTGTGCCAGGCCAGCCAGAGGGCAGTCCCACCTACCACAGCTTTAGGGGCTTAACAAGAGGCTGCTCCCTGTGCACTCGGCACACTGGCCCTGACAGTGGAGGCAGGCACTGGACCAGGAAGAAGGAAGGAACTCTTTACTCTCTGTAGGCAGTGGCATGGTTTGACTGTGACCCTCATCACAGCTCCAGGACAGCTGGAAGGCAGACCTGCCTACAACAGCTACAGGGTCATATCACAGAAGCTGCTTCCTGTGTGCATGGCTCACTGGCCCTAACAGTGGAGGTAGGCACTGTGGCTGGCAAGGAGGAAGAAGCTCTTGCCTCCTGGCAGGCACCAGCACCACTTGTCTGCAACCCCCGCAATTGCTCCAGATGCTAGGCAGCTCTGAAGAGCAGAGCTTCTGGGTACTAGAGGGTGCCGCCTATACAAAGCTAGTGCTCCACATTATCCAGTAGGATTATGAGAAGTAAGAAGAACCTTGTTTGATCCAAAATCCCTCAAACACCAGAAAGAGGGCTTAATGAAACTGAAATCACCTATCTTCCTGAAAAAGATTTCAAAATAAAAATCATAAACATGCTAATGGAGCTACAGAAAAATATTCAAGATCTAAGGGACAAATTGAGAGAGAGACAGACACTGAAAAATACAGTATCTGAAATGAAACATACAATGGAGGAATTTAAGAGGAGACTAGAAGAGAGAGAAATGGTAAATGGAATAGAAATTAGAGAACAAGAATATAAAGAAGCTGAGGCACAAAGAGAAAAACTAATCTCTAGGAACAAAAGAATAAGAAGACAACTCTCTGATCAACCAAACAGAACAAATTTCACACTACAGGGGTAGCAGAAGAAGAAGAGAGAGAAAAAGGGATAGAAAGTGTCTTTGAAGAAATAATTGCTGAAAACTTCCCCAATCTGGGGAAGGAAATAGTCTCTCATGGCATGGAAGCGCACAGATCTCCCAACACAAGAGATCCAAGGAAGACAACGGACATATAAAGACTATAATGGCAAAGATCAAGGACAAGGACAGAGTATTAAAAGAAGCCAGAGAGAGGAAAAAAGATTACCTACAAAGGAAAACCCATCAGGCTATCATCAGCTTTCTCAGCAGCAACCTTACAGGCCAGAAGGGAGTGGCATGATATATTCAATGCAGTGAAACAAAAAGGTCTCAAACCAAGAGTACTCTATCCAGCAAGATTATCATTTAAATTTGAAAGGACTAAATGATTCCCAGATAAGCAAAAGTTCAGGGAATTTGCCTCCCTAAAACCATCTCTACAGTATATTTTAAAGGGACTGCTCTAGATGGAAGTATGCCTAAGGTTAAATAGCTGTCACCAGAGAAAATAAAACCACAGCAAAGGAAGTAGACTAATTAATTACTAAGCAAATGCAAAATTAAATCAGCTACCCACAAAATCAGTCAAGGAATACACAAAGAGTGCATGATATGACACCTAATATATAAAGAGTGGAGGAGGAAGAAAAAGAAGGGAGAAAAAAGAATCATCAGACTATGTTTATAATAGTGTAATAAGTGAGTTAAGTTAGAATGTTAGATACTAAAAAAGCTGCCCTTGAAGCTTTGGTAACCACGATTCCAAAGTCTGCAATGGCAATAAGTACATATCTATCGATAATCACCCTAAACGTGGTGGACTGAATGCACCAATCAAAAGATAAAGAGTTACAGAATGGATAAAAAAGCAAGACCAGCTATATGCTGCCTACAAGAGACTCACTTCAAACCCAAAGACATGCACAGACTAAAAGTGAAGGGATGGAAAAAGATATTTCATGCAAATAATACAGAAAGTAAAGCAGGAGTAGCAGTACTTGTATCAGACAAAATAGACTTCAAAACAAAGAAAGTAACAAGAGACAA